ATATGCAATTTAGACGAGTCGCTCGGGCTCGGTTTGTTTTTAGCCCGGCTTATACGCTCATTAATGAGTCGAGTTTTAGCTAAAAAAATAAGTTTAGGACCAAATTTGGGCTCAGCTCGTTTGAACATACTATAGCTCGGCTCGTTTGGCTCGAATTGCTCCTCTACTTTTTATTAAAAAACTAAAACCCTATTTTAAATATAATGACCCTTAGTAGGGCCAGAACAAAATTTGGACAATTACAAAGAAGGTGCAACAACACCTTCAACAAATTTGTTTTCGGTATGGATACTTTACTTTTGGATAATTGTGTTTAAAAATTGATTTTGGTATCACGGGTCCTCAACACCAATGAAATGATTCCATTTATTTATTTATATTTAAACAAAGTTCAATGATATGCCCAATTTTGGGTAACAAAATCATTGATTGGCTCAACATCATGATCATTATTCAAGGGAAATCAATCAATCTTCTGAATCATAGTGATAGCCGGACAATTTACAAAGAGCTATCCCACAAGCCATCCAGGCCGGATAAAAAAGCCCAAAACAGGACATCTCAGTAAACATGTGGCCCAAACCAGCCAAGGCCGGATCAAAAAGCCCATATCCCACATCTCAGTAAAAAAAAAACAAACCGAGAACTCGTCTTCTCTATATAAAGTCTTGCAAATCAAAATTTCGCAGATTTCTTTCTAAATAGGGTTTCGCGCTTCAATCAATTTCGGTAAGTTTTCTTTCAATTTCTTTCTCGTTTCAATAATTTCCAAGAATCTCGATAACTCTGTGTTTTTTAATCCGAAATTTGTTTTTTGTTTTTTGTTTTTTTTTGTTTCTGTTATAGATTTGAATTAAAGTTGTAGAGAAGAAAGAAAGAAGAAGAAAGATGGGAGAAAGAAAAGTACTGAATAAGCGTATTCCACCGGATTTTAATCCAAGTAGACTTCCTCGAATAAAACAACCTAAGAATCAACAGATCAATGTGCGTAATATGCTTCCAATGAGTATTAGATGTAATTCTTGCGGGAATTATATATATAAAGGAACCAAGTTTAATATGCGGAAAGAAGTTGTTCTTGGCGAGGTCAGTTTGATTTTTTTTTTATATTGTTTGATAGTTTAGTTATTACTTATTGAAACCATGTATTAGTGCTTGGATTATTTTGTAGACTTTGGATTAATTAAGGAAAAACAACTGAATGAGCTATGGTATAGGACATTCCGAACAATGGAACATTAACATTTAAATCTTAGTAGACTAGGAGATACCAATACAATTTTGCTTACTTACAATGTTGGACCATGCCTTTAATGAGGGTTAGGTCAGATGTTACCATTGCTGAGCATAGGATATTATATTATGACCATCAATTTACACGCAAACTAGATTAAGCGGAGCTATATATGTGGATGTTTGATACTTTGATTGGTTGACATTTTAGAATTAGTTTTACATGGTTACTGGGTATGAAAAGGTGTATAAATGGTTGTTCTCGATCTGTTTTTGATTCTGTCATATAGGTATAAAATCTGTCACATGCTTTTAGTGAATTGGTGATTTCAAAAATCTGTCACTGTTCTAGCTTCCTTTCTTACTTTGTTTTGTTTATATTATTATTTCAATTTATACACGTAAGTATCTGGACAACCAACACTCCAACAGTCATTTTGTTCTTACTAAATCTGGATTTTTTTTTTTTGAATTGCAGACATACTTGGGAATTCAAATATTTAGGTTTTATTTAAAATGCACACATTGCTCAGCTGAAATGACGATGAAAACGGACCCGAAAAACTCAGACTATGTGGTAGATTATGGGGCATCGCGCAATTATGAGCCTTGGCGTGCCAAGGATGAGGTAAAGAACTGCTTGATGCTTTTCAGTATATGACTGTTATGTCGGTATCCTTTTTAGCTTTTCTTTCAGAATCTGTTCTGTAATTCTGTTTGAAGCATAGTTGTAGAATCAATTGCTTAATTTGTACCTATGTTTTCATCCAGGAAGCAGATAAAGAAAAAAGGAAACGGGACAGTGAAGAAATGGGGGATGCTATGAAATTTCTAGAGAATAGAACACTAGATTCGAAAAGAGAAATGGACAAACTTGCTAATCTATATGAATTGAAATCCATGAAGGTACCTGCTAAAGAATATCATTGAATACTTTACTGTATTGGATTTCAAATAGACACTCGAAATATACTCAGTTTTTCTTATCTCAATTCTGTTTTGTCACAGTCTAGACATGCTCGTGTTAGTTCAGAGAAGTCGCTTGAGTCCTTGCCACGTAAAGCTGAGGAGAAGGTAATATGTCAATCTTTGTAATTATCCATTCGCTGAATCAAATAGTTTCACAATGCAAAATTACTTATGGATTTTGGAATGATTTTAATTACCAATAAGTTTGTAGATGTCCATATTTTTAGAATGCATGAAGCAGATCAGCAAATTAAGACATTTGAGTCTTTGTGGAAAGTCCGAACTGATAAAAAAAGTCCTCTCTTCCCATGTGATTTGATGGTAATTAAGTGACTATTGAGCTATCACTGATATTTATTCCCATTTTATATTGATTGGCAGGAGAAAAAGTTGGAGCCAGAGGATGAAGCTCTTATAAAAGCAATTTTTCAGGTCAGTATGGCATCCCTTCTTCCATATAGAGGCCAGCTATCACAGGTTAGTTCTCACGCGTAATCATGCGAAGTCATTCCATAACCCTTGGATATTTACAGATCAGCAAATTAAGACATTTGAGTCTTTGTGGAAAGTCTGAACTAATAAATTCCATGGAACTGATAAAAAAAAGTCCTCTCTTCCCATTTGATTTGATGTTAATGAAGTGACTATTGAGGTTATCACTGATATTTCTTCCCATTTTTTATTGATTGGCAGGAGGGAAAGTATGAAGCTCTTGTAAAAGCAAATTATCCGGTCAGTATGGCATCCCTTCTGCTTAAATATGTATAATGTTGAAAACATTCTTGTGACTTAATCTTAAAATAATTTTGTAACTGCAGGGTCGAAGAGCTGTTATACGAAAAATTGAAGATTATGATAGTGATGAAGATGAAGATGAAGACGAAGAGTTACATATTCCAACCGGCAATGGTGAAACAAATAATCACCAAGCCAAAGTATGTTTTTGCTTTGGTTTTCATATCTATTTTAGTCTTCCTCATATTTATCAAGCATCATGTAGACATTATTTGAAACCTAATATATCTGTTTATATGAAATCTTATAACTGTTGCTTTTGCAGAGGAGAAAAGTTTCAACTGACCTAGGGAATCCGACAGATTTTTTGACTCGGAAAAGTATTTTTTATAGCTCCAAAGATAAAGGTTAACACTCTCTCTTCTGGTCATATCTCAAATGTTAGTCAAAGTTATGATTATTGTTAGCACAGTTACCTATATAGGCACATACCTGTCTCAGTGTTTTGATACATCTTTGAATCCTCGACAACTAAACTAGTTCATTCAGACTCAAATCTTCTTAAATGTAGGATTTCAGATTGTAGCGGTACTGTCCTAATCATCCATAATGCTCCCGAGTATGACATGGCATTTTTAGATGTTAGTCTTAGTTTTGATAAGTATTGGTTATGATTACAGCATGAAGATATTACATTTCCTCTTTAACATGAAATTTAGAAATTATGTGTTTATTAGTGTTTAATACTCAGAAAAACATGATAACTGATTATCTGTGCACTAACAAATATATTTGAAGTGTTAAACCGCAGGTTCAGATACTGCCCAGGCATCAAACAAGTCAAAATTTATTGTCAAGAGGGTTTCTAGGGCTCCGGTTGACAACAGTTCAGCAAAAGAACAGAAACAAGAGAAACAAGCCAATGCCAATGATGCTAGTACACCACTCCAAGCTCTAGTTCAGAATTATGATAGTGATGAGGACTGACATCTGATGTTTAGCACCACAGCACCAGCTAAAAAGAAACTTTATACGGTAATTGATTTTTCTTCCCTTTGTTCCTTTTTGCGCATAGAAGGAGATGGGCTAATTTTGTCAAAAAGCTTGATTCTTATATTCAAACTCATCAAGGTTGTATTAGTTTGAAACCCCATCGTTGTAGTTATATAAACCACGTGGCAGTGGAACAACTTATAATGGAGACTGTTCGCAAACTAACGGAGTTAGAAAAAGCAAGCTGGGGTTGGGCAGACCCCTACCAGATTATATTTAGAATAAAAAAGAGTTACATGTTGCCATTGGCCACAATAGTACTCTTTGACATTGCCATTGGCCACAATAGTACTCTTTGAATATGGGTTGAACTTTGTGCTTAGGCCTATGAACTTTATTTTGCTTTATCAATGCAATGCTAGCATGATACACGATACATGAACTTTAAGTAGTCTGAATCTGTTACTCCAAAACTGTTTTTAAATATTGTTTTAGGAGTAGAATAATCAATCAATTAGTGTAGATTATCATTGTGATCTCTTGGGCCCTCTTGTTGCATCCCTAAAAAGAAAAGATACAGTTGGGGTCATTCTATAAAATCGGAATAATATATAGAAGATTGGCATGGCCCTTGCCCAAGGCTGACAAACACAATCGAGAAATGGTCCAAATTTTCATTAGAAAAATTGTATATATTATCGTTTATTCTCACTAGTTTATCTTCTAGCTCTACTTTACTATAGAAGTGGTGAACATGTTAATAGAAATTGAACATAATCTATACACTATAATACAAATACTTTGTATTTAATAGTAAAGTGATCACTTCCAAAGCTGTTTCCCCTACAAAGAACCGGGAATGAGGTGAGGTTAGTTGCATCTTATTTAGAATGTCTATATTTGATATAGAACTCAACAGTAGTTGACATACATAGATTATTACTTTGTTTAGAAACTTAATTAATAAATTAACTCAAATGGCAAAGTCAACATCATTGACTAAATCAGCCACACCAAAATCTCAGTACGATCATTAGCTCCACACATACATGAATCATCCTGGTGGATAGGACCCTGTGTCCTGTGATGTAAAGCTGACTTGGCATTCGCCAAAGTTTAATTAAGTCATTGATGGGCTCTCCTGCAGTCTATTTTAAGAGCTTGTCCACAACATCATTATTCAATAACCATGAGTTTAGAGCCTGTCCTAATCTTCTTGGTCTCAAGGTTAATGGTAGATTCCGCAGGAGCCATTAATGGAACTGAAACCCTGCCTGGCTGCCAACAAAAATGCGGGAACATTAAAGTTCCCTATCCATTTGGTATAGGAGCCAACTGTTCCATTGCTACATGGGCCAACATAAAGTGCAACACTACATTCAACCCACCCAAACCCTTCATTGGTGATATCGAGGTTGCACAATTTTCATTAGACGAAGTTCGAATAAAGAACCATGTAGCTGTGAGTTGTTATAATCAGTTTGGCAATCAGACTAATCTAACATTTGCTTGAATTCATTTGATTGGAACTCCATATACATTTTCATCTACAAAAAATGTAGTGACTGTTCTTGGTTGTTACACCACTGCTAACTAGAGAGAGTCAGGATTTCAACTACACTTGTGGATGCATATCCCTATGTGAGAAAAGGGAATATGTGATTGATGGGACATGTTCTGGCCATAGGTGTTGCGAGACTGCCATTCCCAGAGGGATGCAAGAGTTCTATGCACTTGTCGGTAGTATATTCTCACATGCCAAAGTCTGGTCTTTTGATCCTTTTGGCTATGCATTCATGGGTGAAAAAGACATGTATTCGTTCAAGGCATCAGACTTTGGCTATTCTAATAGTTCTCGCCTTAGAGATATTCCGGTCGTGCTTAATTTTACAGTGGGAAATCAGACATGCAAAAGTGCTAAACAAAACCCTGCAACTTTTGCATGCAAGGATAATAGCTATTGCTATGATTCAGTTGATGGTAATGGATACCTTTGTAGTTGTAAAAAAGGTTAAGAAGGAAACCCTTATCTTCAGAAAAGCTGCCAAGGTATATCTTCAAAACTAGTCCATTCTACATTAAATTTTGTTGATTGAAATAAATGGAATAATAATTTAAACTTTGTAGCCATTTGGTGATGATACTAGAGTTACGTTCGTAACAACGTTCTTTGACAACATGTTTATAAGTCTGCCAAACTAATGGTTTCTGTCTTTCTACTGTGGCTGCATAGATGTGAATGAGTGCGACAACAATCCCTGTAAAGGAATTTGCACCAATACACAAGGTAGTTATAGATGCTCCTGCCCAGATGACTCTTATGGAGATGGGACCAAAGAGGGGACTGGTTGCACTAAAAGAAATAAAAAAAAATTCCACTGATACAGCTCACTCTAGGTAATCACTAATCACCATCTATCCTTGTGTGTCTGCGCGTGTGTAACACCTAATAAGCAGGCTTCCTATAGTAGATCATAGTTTCTTCATATATATACTCAGTCATTCACTCATGTATTGGTTTTCGAAATCAGGTCTGGGGTTTGGGTTCTTGTTTCTACTTGTTGGTGGTTCTTGGTTATACTTAAGCATTAAGAAAAGAAAGCTCATCCAACTCAAGGAAAAATTCTTTCAGAAGAATGGTGGTTTACTATTAAAACAACAGATCTCTTCGCATGAAGGTGGGGTAGAGTCGACAAAGATCTTTACAGCAGAAGAGCTAAAACTGGCAACTAACAACTATGATCCACGTTGAATCCTTGGGCAGGGAGGCTATGGTACTGCGTACAAGGGCATCTTACCTGACCTAAGAATAGTTGCTATTAAGAAGTCCAAAGTAGTTGATAAAAGCCAACTTGGCCAATTTATCAATGAGGTTGTAATTCTTACCCAGATTAACCACCGGAATGTTGTGAAGCTCTTAGGGTGCTGTCTAGAAACAGAACTACCATTAGTCGTTTATGAATTCGTGTCTAATGGGACACTCTCCCAACTTTTACAAAAATAGAGTGGGACTATGTCATCCCTTTCATGGGGGGGCCGTTTGAGAATTGGAGCCGAAACCGCAGGAGCACTTTCATATCTACACTCTGCAGCTTCCACCCCAGTTATTCATAGAGATGTGAAGTCCACAAACATATTGCTAGATGACAATTACATAGCAAAAATGGCCGATTTTGGAGCATCAAGATTAAATCCTTTAGATGAAAGTCAAATTAGCACATTAGTACAAGGAACTATGGGGCATCTAGATCCAGAGTATTTCCATACTGGGCAGCTAACCGAAAAAAATGACGTTTATAGTTTTGGTGTGGTTCTGGCAGAACTCTTAACTGGGGAGAAACCACTTTGTTTCGTGCGACCTATAGAACAAAGAAATTTAGCAACATATTTTCTTTTGTCAATGAAAGAAAACAGTTTGTTCGAACTTCTTGAAGTTGGAATAGTGAATGTAGGGAAGGAGGAGCAAGTGTTTGCTGTTGCTGAACTTGCAAAAAGATGTCTGAACTTAAAAAGCGAAGAAATGATAAGGTCCATGAATGTTCCTCGGTGATTGTATAGGTGATTGTATAACGTAGAGGAGAAGTGTGTAGTAATATTTATGTTAGTTTGAATTTGGTTGGAAACTGTACATATGTATGTTATATTTGATGTGTTCCATATCTTGTGTGGTCAATGTTGTGTCCATATGCACCTCTTTATGGCGGGAAATTAATGATTGCTTCAATAATAATCTGCTTGCTAGTTCTATGAATAGTATCTCTTCTAGTGCGATTTTGTGGACATACACAGACAGCAGTTTTCTATTGGTCCACGTCATTACTAAATTTACCTAAGTTTTTGTTATTATAAAATAAAAATTAATGAATATAAAAAATTAGTGACGTGGACCAATAGAAAACCGTTGTCCCGTGGACACACATTCGGTGTATGTCCACAAAACTGGTTTGGTATCTCTTCAGTCACTTTTAAGATCTAAATGTATCGATGTGTTTCAGAAAGTTGTACAATGTAATCTATACTATACTGGTACAAAAATTCATCGACAAATGGGGGGGAGTGAAGATCCTGGTTTCAAACTTTCAATGGAATAGTGGAGATCAAAATTCTTAACCACGCAGAATGTGAAAACACACCCTGCTGACAAGTGCCACCAGATCTTCTAGTATTATTGTTACCACCTCAAGAACATGAGGCAGAGAAAGAAGACTTATATGAACCTAAATATATCAACATCTTATTATAGGGTAAAAAGGCAGTTTCAAGTAGCTATTTTTAGCTACGTAGTTCAATATATCTTCTTGTATTTTTAGCTATTTAATTCAATGGTGAATAACTTAAATTTTAATTTAAGGTAGATAACTAGCAGATTTTTAAGTACATATGTCTATAAAAAACTCACAAAGACAAAAAATTTACTTAGACAAAATATAGAAAAATGAAAGTTGAGATAATTTTAATTATTTGCATTAATGCATTTTCTATTGGTGTAAAATCGCAAATTGAACAAGAAACTACAGATAATCCTCAACAATTATCAACAGGAGCAGATAGTTCACAAACATTTTTTATAGATAATCCTGTGCAATTATCAACAGGAGCGGATAGTTCACAAACATTTTTTACAGAAGCCAATAGTGTTGGACAAGGAAATGCAGCAATTTTTGAGCAACAATTATCGGCAGTAAAAACACAAGCAACAGGAACAGGAACATGTTCAGGTGGAACATACAATGTGAAGGATTTTGGTGCAAAAGGAGATGGAAAAACTGATGATTGTAAAGTTAGTATTTACTTACTATTGTTAATTTATTTATGTTCTTCATGATTCTAATATGGGCATGCATTGTGTTGAAAATTATAGGCTATTCAAGCTGCGTGGCTAGCCGCGTGTAAGTGCACAGGCTCCCCAAAGGTTCTGATCCCTTCAGGAACATACCTCACAGGTCCTGTTCAGTTTTTTGGTGCATGCAAAGGAACAACCATAACTCTTCAAGTACAGGCAAGATACCACATCCCATTTTCAAAATAAATTTTTTTATTGGCAAGCCGGGGTTAAGGGGACCCTTAACCTATTTAAATTACGTGGCGAAACTTATATCAAACAATCAGCTGCAGATGTGTTTCGAAATCATTGTTTAATTAGTGTATAATTTTTGTTTAAATGGAACAACAGGGTACCTTGAAGGCTTCTACAAACCTAGGCCATTTCGGACAACGTGATTGGATTTGTTTTGGTTGGGTACGTGGTTTGATTCTGACCGGAGGTGGTACTTTCGACGGTCAAGGAACAGCATCATGGCCGTACAATAAATGTCCGGTTACCAAAAAATGCAACGTTCTGCCCACGGTGAGTACCTAATCATTTGAAAACAAAAAAGAGATAATAATGAAAACAAAATCTAATGGGAACATATTATTTTGATGAATCAGAATTTAAAGTTCAATGCAATGACCGATACAACTGTGAAAGGGATAACTTCATTGAATAGCAAGTTCTTCCACATTGGAGTGGTAAATTGTCAAAAATTCAACGTGATCGGAGTCCATATTACTGCTCCAGGCGATAGTCCAAACACAGACGGATTGCACTTTGAGCGTAGCTCGGATGTGACAATCACTGACTCAATCATTGCAACCGGAGATGATTGCATCTCGATTGGACATGGCAATTCTCGT